AATTCTTGCATCAGAAAGTGAAAAACTATGGTTACGTTTACAAAAACGCATACCCAAACACATACTAAACCACTTAGATTTGAAATGAATCTCATTCCATGTATATGGACTTTTGGCTGAGGAATTCGGTATCATCCGAATCCCTGCTCTTTTTAGATCTCGTACGTTCTTATAAGTAAACCAATTGCCAGTTTTTGGGTCTATTTGAAAATTGTTGTCTTCATTACCATCATCTTGCTGGTTTTGGAGTGTATTTATCCCCATTTGAATATTGATCTCTCTTTCGGGTGACAGGTAATGTGAGCGATAATAATCAAGTAAATGAATTGGATTAGGATTTTGGACAGAGACATTCATTGTGTCCCTATATTTGGATTGACCAAAGTCAGCATGATTGGAAAATAAAAATTCCAACTTGGGTCCTTTCTCTTTGCTTAGCATCTCAAGTAATCTCCTCGGAAGTTGGTTTTCCAACAAAATTGTATCTCTGCGAATTTGGAATAGTTGGTATGACACCCTCTACCTCGCATATCATAATACAAATAATAAAATTTAAATAACATAATTTTTTATTTTTTTTAAATACTAAACATGTTCAGATAAAGAGCACCACATTCATAACTTAAACAAATATAACATTATAACGAAAGAAATAAGAATAAGATTTTCAAAATAATTTAAAAGAAACAACATACTAATCTAATCCTATCTACGTCCCGATGTCACATGTCCTATTAGAGCAAATCTTAACATAGAAGCCTAAGTTTCCTCACCAATATCCTCAGTCTCATGTTGATAATCACCTGTAAGACAGTCAAGAAAAAATAACACAAGAAAAGGGGGTGAGAAACATCTCACTCTGTCTCACAGTGTAGGAATATACACCGGATAACCAAATACAAACTATATATATGTATATATATATATATGTACATATAATATATATATATAATATTATGTTTAATATTTTATAAATTGGGTGCTACAAAATTCATGCCCGACGAAACTAATATCATTTGAATAAAAAATTATATCTTTAATGTTATCAAATTTTAGAGTTTAATGACTAGCCATTTGCTAGCTTAAATTCTTATCCATGTTTTTTTTTTAAAAATAAAAATGAATAAAATACTGCAGAAATTACTGAAGGAAAAGGAGCTGGGATCGTTGGAACATCCATCTCTATTTATTTAATTATTTTTATGAGTATATTACACAAGAAACAAAAGGAGTGAGAACAGTTTTCAAATAAATATTTATAATCACATAACATGCGTAACAATAATTAATACTAAAAAAATATTAATTATGATTAACATTAAAATTTGAATTATACTTGTAGTGACTAGTCAGGATAAATGAGCATTATAATATCAACCAACGAAAGAATTTTTAATCATAACTTCTTACTCATTTAAATCCCCAAGGTCAAACCTCCAGCTACAAATAATTCAAATTTTATCTTCTATGGTCATAGAGTAATATTTATCTTTAAAACGATTCAAAGACATTTTAACAAAATTATATTATAATCAATCATAAAAACAATCACGCTAAATAAATTTGAGAATTTATCATTATTTAAGCTTTAATTAAATAACATATACGTAAATAAAATATATTAAGAGCACCAATTAATTAAATGACAATGATAATTATTATAAAATAATTAAACAATATAAAATATGGACATATTAATAATTATTATGGATAAAAATAATCATAGATTAAGCAAATAAATGAGGTTAGGGGCACCTCACTAGATAAAAATAACATAAATAAATAAACATAGGAGTATATAAAATTAAAGAGATAAAGTTCTCTTCCCCCTTACTTTGGAATGTAGACTTATCAAGAAGTAGTTGAATAAAAGAAATTTTCTTACTTCGTTCTCTTTCTCTTTTCTCACCGCTGTTACAATGTTGTTTTTTCAAATTTCCGTTGAGGTGAAATGCACTATTTATAGGCCATGGTAGGATTTGAGCCCATGACCCAGTACATGTAATTCTTAAGCACAACTAGTTAAACCACTGAACCATTTTATTTTATATGTTTATAACATCATGTAAATTTATAATAAGTTATTTTTCGTAGGTAATATTTATAATATAATTAGATAGCACACACATACACACACAAACATATATATATATATATATATATATATATATATATATTTAGTTT